GCACCGGGGTGATGCACCGGGATAATGCACTGAGACAGTACTCCAGGGTGGTGCACCTAGGTGATGTACCAGAGTAATGCACTGGGACAGTGCACTGGGGTGACACACTGGGATAATGCACTGAGTTAATGCACCGGGACAGTACTTCAGGGTGATGCACCGGGGTGACGCACCGGGACAGTGCTCTGGGTTAATACACTGAGATAATGCACCACGACAGTGCTCCAGGCTGATGAACCAGGCTGATGCACCAGGGTGATGCACCAGGACAGGGCACTGGGGTGATCCAGTGGGGTAATGCACTGGTTTAATGCACCAGGGTGTCGCACCAGGACAGTGCACCAAGGTGATGCAGTGGGTTAATGCACGAGGACGGCGCACCACGATAATGCACTGGGTCAATGCACCGTCACAGTGCACTGGGACAGTGCACCGGGATAATGCACCAAGTGGCTGCTCTGGGGCAATGCACCGGAGTGATGCACTGGGATAGTGCACCGGGGTAATACACCAGGGCAGTGCACCGAGCTAATGCACTGGGGAAATGCAGTTGGGCAGCTGGACAATGCGCCCGGATTAATGCACCTGGACAGTGCCAYGGGGCAATGCACATGGCTTTTGCCTAAAGGCTCCAAGTGCTTCCTTTGAAGGCAGGCAGGCTTAGAGTGACAYGGAGGGACTTGGGGATAAAGGGTGGCCTGGGGTGATCAAGGGATRGGATTGCCCTGGGGCCCCACTTCAATGCCCAGCTCCAGATCCCCAAATCTGGTTGTTTAACAGCAGRAAAATAGACCTCTAGTCAATATATTTCCACTCAACATGGCCAGGGTGTTTGGAAACATTTCCTCTACCCAGTGCAAAAGTTCAAGAGAGAGAAAAAGAAAAAACAACCCCAAGCAGGCGTTCGATTTTTTTTCTTTCTCTATTTCTTAGGTGTGACTCAGGCTTTCTGCTCCTTRGCTGCAGGGCCCTGTGGCTCTGCTCTGACTCACTGGAAAACAAGCCGGGATTGTGGGCAACGAGCCCGTGCCGAGGGCGCCCCTACCCTCAGCGCCAAGTCACGGGGACAGGGCCCGTGCTGGAGGCAGCCGGGAATGCAGGCGGCTTTCCATGGGCTCCCTCCGAACCGCCGGCGGGTGTGGAAAACCACAGTGCTGGCGGCACGGGGCGAGTGCTCGCAGCCTGGCATCGCCCCCCGCGCGGCTGGGGCTGTTCTGCGCCACACTCCGGCCTTTCCCAGCCCTAATCCCGCTGCTAATCGTATCCCGGCGGTGGCAGCGGCGCTCGCTGCTTTGTTGTTATGTAATGTGTTTTYCCCCCTGCCGGCCCCGAGCACAAGGCTCCAGCCGGAAATTTTGCAGCTCCTGAATGGGGGAAAGGTGACGCCGAAAGAGAAGGCGCCGCTGCCTGTGGAGCAGTCCCAGTGTCCCCACAATGTCCTCCTGCACTGTGCTGGGCTCTGCAGTGCTCAGCCAAGGGGCTGTCCGAGGCTGCACCCGCTGCTCTCATGTTGCATCAACTGCCTGCCCAGATGCTGCACCCACAGCCCAGATGTTTCACGACCCACCCGGAGGTTGCAACCCGTGCCCAGAGACCACTCAACCTGCCCAGATGTTGCTGAGCATTCCCAGATGTTGTTCTGCCCGTTCAGGCGCTGTCCCACCTGSCCAGATGCTTTGCTACCTGTCCAGATGTTGCACCACCTACCTAGACGCTGCAGCCTCTGCCCAGACCTTTGGTCCAGCTGTGGTGCCTCCTGCCCCCCCTTCTGTCCACAGTGCATCCTTCCATAAGCTCTGCACATGCATCGCTGGCTGCTCCCAGCATCATCAGCATGGAGAAAAAAAAACAACCCAAAAAAGCAAAAACAGGCTTTGCTTGCGTTTCCCAGGAGGAATTATTCTGGATTTGGAAGCATGCAGTTGGCTGCACTGCTAAAACACATGGAGTTGTGGAGTTTCCTCTGGATGTGAGCTCAAGCCTTGTCTAAAACTAAGGGCAGTAGCTTAAAATCAAAGCTGGGACCTTTGTCCCTGGGTGTAGCCACCTGAYGAGCTCCATGTGCAACAGGGTCACCCAAACCCGTCCCTCTGCTGCCCAGGGCTGCTGGGACCAGTCCCTGCCGGTGTCCTTGGGCCCTGGCATCTGCTGTGGGGTGGGTGTCGGGCTGCCTGGGCAGGGGGGTCTTCCCACATCCCACCCCTCCAGTGCCGCCCCAGCAAGCCAGGGGCCTGCAGTAGCCCTGGGGAAGTTGGAGAAGGAGTGAGGAAATTTCTGGAATGAGAGTAAATTCTGGACTGGGGGTAAATGACCATGGGTGTGGCTGTGTCCCCCACGTGTCTGCAAGTTCCCACGGGGCTGCTCACACACATGCGCACAGGCCTCCCGACCCATTCCTGGTGCACCCAGACCCTGTTCTCTTGCCCGGCCGGCTCCCAGTGTAGGACCCCCGCCCGGCCCGGTCCGTTCCCGGTGCAGCCCGGAGCCCCCTCCCCAGCCCGTTCCCGTTGCAGGCCCTGACATCACGTCTCGGAGCAGCGCG